CACCAGAGCAGGGTTGAAGCACTAACCTGAGGAGCTGACACCATCCCCAGGCCCTGCAGCGTGTTATCTGCAGTGTTGGGCCAGTTGGAGGGCCAATCCTTTTTGGAGATAATGGAACGGTCAGCTCCTGTATCTAGGAGCCCTGTTATATTCTTGTCATTGACCTTAAGTGAGAGCATGGGCCTTTTATCAAGTATTATATGGAGTCCCTCGAAGACTTCCCCTGAGGAACCGAAACCTTGACTTTTTCTAATTTTCTGCTTTGAGGGGAATCTCTTGTGGAGACTGGGGAGCAGCAAGAGCTGCGCTATCTTGTCTCCTTTATTGATTACCATAGTACCCACAAGAGATTGAACCATAATTTTAATGTGTCCTGTGTAGTCTGAGTCTATGACCCCCAGGACTACTATGAGACCCCGAAGGGCCGTGGAGGATCTCCCGATCACCAGACCCACGGAATTTTCGGGTAACGGTCCCTTAAAGGTGGTTTCAACCACTTGAACACCCATATCAGGCACCAATATAAGTCTGGAGGCAACACTGAGGTCCACACCTGCTGACCCAGGGGTGGCCCTTGTTGAAGGCTGCCATCCTGAGCTGTCCTGTCTCTGGGGCGGGGGCCCGCCTGTGAAGGGGGCCCCCTCTGGCCGTTTTTTGGCCCTCTAGCATCTCGTCCACAAATACGGTTGCCCTGAGCATCAAAGACCGACCTACACTCCTCAGCTTTGTGTGATCCCCTCTTGCATCGCCCACAAACATATGGTTCTTCATTCCTAGGGCGAGGCCTAGCATCTGCATTGTTTGGGCAATGACGTTTAATGTGTCCTGGCTCCCCGCAGGCAAAACACCCTTTAGCCTTACATTCCCCTTCTAACCCGCGAGGTCCCCTCTGCTGTACAGCCGCGGCCAGGAGAGCAGCCACTCCCGAGTTGGAGAGCGGCCCCCCTATCTCTCTGCATATCCTAATCCAGGCGTTGAGGTCCTTGTTCTTATGAGGAGCTATCGCTGCCTTGCATTTCTTTGTACATTGCTCAAAAATCAGCTGCCTTACCAGCAGTCGAGCCACTCCCGGATCAGAAAATATCTTATCGGCAGCATCTTGCATTCGGGCCACAAAGTCAACAAATGGCTCTGTGGTACCCTGAATTATTTTTGAAAGACACAAGGAGGCTGTTCCGGCACCACTTACCTGCTTCCAGGCGCGGAGCCCTATGGCATTGATTTGTTCATAGACAGCGCCGGGGAACTGAGTCTGATCATCAGCGTGCCGACCTTCTCCCATAAGCATTTCCTTGTTCCACCCCCGGTTTCCCTGACTGGCGTTTCTCTCAGCCTGCTCTGCAGAGAACTCTGCGTACCAGGCTCGCCAATCCAGGTAACTACCCGAGGGCAGACATGCCTTTGCCAGCTGAACCCAGTCTGCGGGGGTGAGGGGCCCAGAAGACAGGTTCTCCAGCATGGCAATGGTGTAAGGCGCAGTCGGCCCAAAGGTTGTAACTGCATTTTTAAGTTCTCTAATCTGCTTTATCTCAAAAGGCTCCCATGCATTACGTCCCTGGCCCATAGCTACTTGTACAGGAAATATCCCGTAGGGGCCACTATTTATCCCAGGTGGTGGATGTACCTCATGAGACAAACGTCCCCCCTGCCAAAGCCGCCTGTAAAAATACCGACCCGCCGGCGGCGGAGCATAAGACGGCGGCCGTGATTGGGCGGAAAATGGGGGCCCGTGCATCACTTCCTGTTCTGGCGAAGGGGAAGGGAGCTCCCGGGCGGCCGCCTCGCGGCGAGGGATCGCCTCCGGGAACAGCCCCCAAGGTGGGGTGGAAGGCTTCGCCTCCCTCTCGCGCCGGGGAGTGCTCAGGAGCTCTCTACTCCTCCGCAGACCAAGTTGAGCGGAGCGCAATTCACGGCGCAACGCTGGGAAAGAACCCTGCGACTCCTTATCGAGCGACTTAGGCTCCTGACAGCTGGTCTCTTTGGCCTCCTTGCCATTCAACTTTCCCTCGTCCTCGGAGTCAGACGACTCCGAGGCTAGAGCCCCGTCCTTCTCCTTAGCATCTTTGTTCCCCTTGACGGGCCCCTCTCGGGAGCTCCCTGACTGGGCCTGCTCAAATACCCTGCGTACTTTTGTAAGCTCTTGAGAGCTTTCTCCACAACCACCCTCACTCTTAGTGTTGCTACCTAGCATGTTTCCCATCTTTTAATATGTTACTCACCGCGTGAGGCCCAAGGAATCCGCCACTTACGCGTGAGCCTGAGGGGAGTCTAAAAGCCCTGTAGGTGCGCGCCACCCAGAGCCCAGGCTTATCCCCAACTCACCTGTCTCGCAGCTCTGTACTGGAGCGTTGTCCGCTGTCACGTCTCGGGGGTGATCAGTCCCCGTACGGGCCACCAAATGTCGATGTCGCTCCTGGCCGGCAGGAAGGACACACGACAAAGTCTGGCAGTGGACAACCTTTTCTTTTATTTTCCTTCTCCGTACAGCCTGCCCTGGGATCGCTCCCAGCCGAAGCCTCCTTTGGTCCGCTCCCCGTGGCTCCTTCTGGGCTTCTACTTCCGGGCTTCTTCTTCCCCCCCAGGGGTGGCACCAGTATATATACGGATACAGTGTCCAATCATGTTAAAGTAAGCAAGGCAAGCTGATTGGCTAACATCATCAGTTGCCAGGCAGACTATATTGTTGAGCGGGTTGCTTACACGGTAAGCAGGAAACTAACGTGCTCGATGGGAGGGGTAATCTACCTCAGGCTTTACTCTTTACTACAGGCCTCACGTCCGCCAAGTGAGGCGACCGGGCTCGGGGCTGCGGCTCCCAACAAGGGCGGTGCATGTGTTTACCCTGTCCTCTCTGTCTGGGGCTTGTCCCTCGGAGGCCCAGTCCAAGCCGTGTTCTCCGGGAGCCTCTCAGCCCGCAGCCCCTCCGGTAACCATCGAAGGCCGCGTGGCTGCTGCTCTCGCTTGACCTTCACTTCACTGTGCGTTTCTGCCTCGTCCCCTTGGGGCCTTTGTGTCCTCAGTCCATCGGGCAGTGGTCATGGTCTCTGAGTTCCGCGGGCGCTTCCTGTGACGTTACAGAGATGCTCACAGAGTAAACCCGGAACCCTTTCGGGCACAGCACAGATCCCGTTGTGGATGCAAGCGGTGCTGCGCATCCTTTAGGCTTTGCATTGCATCAAAACAGATTTAATGCAGCATAACGTGTGCTGTGTGGTGAACTTCCGGTCAGCACCTGGTCACCTGTTGTGTGACTCTGTTTCCTCTTAGGTTGGAGATAAAATCCCAGTTTGCTTCAGATGTGTGAAAACCTATGGAGAGAATCAATGGCAAAAGTAGCTTCCAGGCTTAAAAATGCTGAGCACAATGAGGTGGTGTTATTTTTTTTAACCGAGACATATCTTGGTGGTGTAATTTATCACAAGCAAGGCTTTTAAATTGCTTCGATATCCTTGTGTTTGTGTTCTATATAAATGCAAATCGTACACTTGCCCGCTGCAGCTGGTCTGCGAAATGATTGAGAGTAATACTCATTAAGAAACCTTTGTCATCACTGTTAGGTAGGACGCACACAGAAATTAAATTACATTCTCCGTGCGTTTCCTGCCCTGTCAGCTTCAGAGGATGTATTGGAGGGTTTTCTTGTTTGGCTGTTTTTATTAGGTTTATATTTTCTTTTTTTTTTTTTAAGACTTATATTTTCAATTTAAAAATAAAAGGAAATGGAAAAGGGGAAAGGGGCACTGTCGGCCTGGGAGTGATCCTTAATTTGTAGAAGTATGGGTCTAAAACCATGCCAGGGTTTTCATCATGTATTTATCAATAAAAATGCTCATTTTGAGTAATAAACAGGAAATGAATGTAAACTTATGAAGTCAATTTTCTGTGCGAATATTGAAAGAGTCATTTGCTTGTTTTATCATTTTGTGGCACTGAGGGGTTGGGGCCAGGGGCTTCCCTGAGCTGTGTCCTCCTGTCCCCCTTTTATTTTTTATGTTAAGCTCCATTGCCCAGGCTGGGCTCAAGCTTGTGACCCTCCTGCCTCAGCCTCCTAGAGTGCTGGGATTATAAGTGTGTTCCCCCAACATCCAGTAAAAAGTAATAATAGTTTATGTTATTACTGTGGGACAGAACTATGGTGAGCAGGAATTGAGTGCTTTATAAGATCGGCTTCCTTTTTTCAATATTTACAACTTCCTGTGAGTTTTTTTGACTTACAGAGTATTGTGGGAGTAGTGCCTGCTTTGAAGTAGTCCTATACTGTCACTTTACATAGCTGTGTCACCCAGGTCTGTAATGTAACCTATTTTGTGCCAGTCGCTGTAGTTGAAATATAGGAATAATGATTATTTTTAGGTTCAATTTTCACTTTATAAAGTACATATGTTTAGGTGTTACCTCATTTTGGAATAAGACCCATTCCGTCTTTTTCAAGAAGGTTTGTCCAGATGAAGAGCACACTGTGTAAAGTGGTCTGCAGAGTGTAGCGTCCTGCACATATTTCAAACATAGCAGCGGTTCAGGGGATATTCAGAATGCCACAATCATGCGACAGCAGACCTCGGAGAGAGTCTGATGACTGTGGCTGTGCTTTACGTAACCTTTCAAGTTCATGGAAAATAGAAACATTCAGTCCTTGTCCTCTGAAATCTATATTATTACAGGATTTCAAAACATACAGGAGTTTAGATTTCAATTTTGTAGCAGTGGTAACTTCATACTGCTGAGTAATATACCATCTTTTATAAGGGACGAAATTATGCGTACTTTTTATTTAAGTAGAATTATCAATGTGCCATCTCCAAGCTTCGATGTGATGTACAGATTTTTGAAAATAGCTTGAAACTACCTGATTTGCAAAGATTATATTTCGTTGTTTTTATGAAATGTATAATTCTCACATTTTCCTTGTGTGTTTTTCTGGTTTCTGCGCCTATCGCCTTTTCTGAACAGAGTTGAATTTGCATGCACCTTTATTAAAGCTGTGTAACCTTACCGTCTAGAGCCCACTCATTACCTCGTTCATCGGAGCAGCTGCTGGGCCATAAAGAGGGCCCCCGGGATTCGGTCCCGCTGCTGGACGCGAAGGAACTGCTGAAGCACTTTACCTCCGACGGACTGCCGGTGGGGGATCTCCAGCCTCTGCCCGTGCAGAAAGGGTACGTTGAAAACTGCGAGCTTTTAAGGATCATTCCAAGCTGCATTGCATATCTTGTGGTTTTCGTTAGTTGATGCTCTGCGACTTCCTCAGAATTCAGTTTGCTTCTCATAGCTTTTTTGAGGATTGGGAGTGGTTGTGGGGCTTTTGCATTGAATTGCATTTTCAGCTTTTTGTCTGTTTGTATTTGTGACAAGTTCATGCTGAATTGTTAAGTTTCCCACAAGCTGGGCTCAACTTTGCAGTCCTCCTCCCTCAGCCTCCCAGAGTGCTGGGATTACAGGCAGACACCACTGTTCCCACCTGTAATCCTGATTTTTTTTTAATATCCAAATGTCCTGCAGGTTTGTGTATTGACAATAAGGGAAATATAAACAATAAATGAAGCCTGAGCATATTCCTTAAAGATTCACTAACTTCTACTTTATATACACAAAGGACAGTACTTTCTAGGAAACAGTTACATTTCAGTTTCTAAATAAAAATGCTTTTCATTCTCTTTTCTTTTACTTGACAATTTGGATTTTGCCTGTACTTGTCATTGTCAATTATGTCTAATGCTAGCAGAAACCAGGGCTTTTTAATGGAAAAGCATGGTAAATGTCATAAAAGGCTTTTGATGTTATAACACAACCCAGTAAGACCTCAGCATCCACGTTAATAATTTATAGCTAAGTTCACTTCCAAGACAACTTCCTCTGTGTTACTGGTTAACAAATGCTGGATGCTCACCCCTGCACACCTGCTGCCGTCAGGGAAGCCTTGGCATAACTGCACAGGGCCAGAGAAGCCTGCCCTGCCCCGCCCTGCACCTCCACCCCAGGATCCTAGGTTTAGAGAAACCAGGTTCCTGGCCCATTCCCCTGCACTGCAGAGAGGCAACCAATGCATGAAGCATCTGAGACCCCACAACCAGTTCGTCCAGAGGTGCTCAGGAAAATGTCAAGATGAAGGAGCAAAATACAATCTCAGACCTCCAGTCCACACAGAACAAGTGCAGGAGACATAGACATGGAAGAAATTGGAAGACACACACCTGAAATTTCTGAAATGATAGCAACTGAAGTCAAGAGCAGGTAAAAGAAGAGATGACAATAGTAATGAAAGAATTGTGAGCATTTCTAAAGGAGACTATAGATTTTTTTTAAAAGACGAGCGTAGGAAAATGATGGAAGTCTTGAACAATATAGGAAAGAATTAGAATGCAGATTCAAAGAGATATTTAGGAAATTAAAAATTCCATGGAAAGATGGCAAAGCCACTTGAACAAAACTGAAGATAGATTTTCAGACCTCAAAGACAGGATTGCAGCTAGCAATTATGGAAGAAAAGCCATTTAAAAAATTACAAGGAACCAGAAAATAACAATTCAACAGCTACAAGATGATGCAAATAAAAATAATATAAGACTGATAGGTCTTGGTGGAAAAGCAGGAGGTAATACAAATGACAAAAACAGCATTTACAGAAGTAGTAGCAGAAAACTTTCCAAGCACGGGAAAAGGACCTGATATACACAAGCGAGGCATATAGAACCCCAACTAACCATGACCAAAATGAGTCTACACCCAGACATAATGATCAAATCCCGGAAATTCAGCATAAGAACAGAATATTAAAAGCTGTTAGAGAAAAGAAACAGATCACCTATAAAAGAGAATCCATCAGAATCACGGCAGACTACTTGATACAAGACATCAAGTTAAGAAGAGCTTGGAGTGAAGTGTTTCAAGTCCTGAAAGAAAATAACATCCAACCCAGACTGATGTACCCTGCAAAACTATCTTTCAAAATTGATGGAGAAATAAGATACTCCAGGACAAAGGACAGCTGAAGGACCTATTGTGTATCAGTTGCTAGGAGGCTTCGGCAGCAGAGGTAACTTGTTCATCAGTTGCAGAATGGACAAGAAAAATACATTTTTATTCAGTAGAAAGCTACTCAGCTATAAAGAAGGCTAATCTTGAAGCTTTTGCAGGTAAATGGATGCAACTTGAGATCATGCTCATGGGTGAAATGGTTCATACTCACATGGTGAACACCATGTTGTCCGCTAGTATAAAAACCTGAAGGAGTTCTTTGTGTAGTTCACAGGTGACTTGTTTAGGAAATTCTTTGCTGTTAGGAAAGAACATTCATTATCAGATGTGTCCCCGCTCACATGAACGTCGGAGGAGGAGCTATCTGGGCGGACCAGGAACGGAGCCATCTTGCTAAACCCCTGCCCCAGCCAGGAGCCATCTGCATGGCCCTGTTACATAGTGTGCAAGTTTGACACCTCTGTCCACGCTGAGGAGGTGACAAGCAGTGACCTCACACACATTTATTAAAATGTGCCTCTTAGAACAGGCTGAAAGAGACATGTATTTAAAAACAAGTGCCGAGGGGGCTGGGGATTTAGCTCAGCGGCATAAGCGCCTGCCTTGCAAGCAGGCAGTCGTGAGTTCGATCCCTGGTACCGATAAAAACAAAAAAGACAAAAAAAAAAAAAGAACACAAGAAAAAGTGCTGAGAGGGAGGTTTGACATGAGAAATGGAGACAACGGAAAAGGAAGAATTGAAACGCAGGATACTTCAGAGGTCTCCTCTTTGCAGTTATTCATTCAATGAGCGGCCATCAAAATCCTAGCATCGCCGTACTTTACTCGTGTCTGTTTTTGTATACCTGAAGTTCAGTCTGTGGAAATTGTGCTTCAGGCCTCATGACTTGGCATATGCTGTACCTTATGGAATAATTTGAGATACTTTCCACAGCACCCTGTATCATTCCCAGTGGCAGGAGAGCTGTTGTCCTACTGATGTCCTAGGGGGATTATGACAGCGGATTTACTCTTGGTACTTGCGCACGCACCTGCCTCTCCAGGTGGCACTTCCAGCTGCCCTGAATTCAGATTCCTGGTGCTGCGTTCTGCCTCCTAGCTGTGGGAAGCCCGGGCTGTGCAGTACCCGCCCCCCCCACCTGACACATTCTGAACGTCAGGACCGTGCCGCTCTGTAAGAATGGTTGGTCCTGACCAGGAGAATCTTACTGACCAAGGGGCTTCTGATCGCAGTGACCTCTTCTTCCCCAGGCGACCTGTCCCTCCCTGCAGTTGCGGGCGGGAAGGGGTTTTACGGACTCACACACGGTCTGTCTGAGGCAGGAAGCCGCCCTCTGGATTGCACGTCGGGCTCATAGCACCGACTGGGAGCCCCAGCATCTCTCCCTGCCAGAATCCACTCCGGTGATCCCCCGCCAAAGTTAGCTATAAGCATCGCCTGTGTAAATGGATAAACATGAGTGTATTTCACCAAGGGAAAGAAAGAGCTTTTAGGCGCAGTGCTGCTTCCTCGGAATTTTCATTCCAAGGCGTTCTCGGGTCTGCTGTGTTCATTTCCAAGAGCAGTTCTGTGCAGTAAGTGCACAAAAGCTAAGGTTCAGGGAAAGCAGAGGTGAACCCCAGAGGCCTGGCCTTGCCGCCTTGCCTGGTGCACTGTGACCTCTGACACCGAGTTTGTGGGTAGGGAGGAAGTGAGGTGTGTGTCGTTAGGCTCTCTGTGACGCTACATAACCCTTAAACACTAACAAAAACTTTTTGTTTCAGGGGCAAGACCTTTGCTGTGACACCAGAACTTAGTCCTGGGAAACTCCGGGTGTTGCCTTTTGAGAAGGCCTCGGTGTGTCATTACCACGGGATTGAGTAAGTTTCTGTTCATTGTGCTTTTCTGCCCCTTGTCCCTGTGGCTCCTTCAGGAAAGTGAGGAGAGACTAGTGAAATAATCCACGCGGGACCCAGCCACGCAGAGACCACACGGAGCCCTAAGAAATGAAAAGCCATGCGTTCACAGCTCGCTAGCCTTCCACTGAGGAAGACAGCTGGCAGCTTTACCATCTGACGCCTCCGACAGTCAGGGGTGTTCACTCAGCATTGTTTTGGCCCTACATTACGAATGCGTGTTTGCACTCCGGGTCACCGTAATGTCCTAGTCACTAATTACAGTGTAATTGCTTAGAAACTATTAGGTGGGCTGCGTTCCCTATTTAACATGTTAATTATGTGTACTTCTTTATAGCATTTTAATTGGCCATTTTAAGGATTCTCCTGCTTAAGGGTGTTACCAGTTTTGGGGTCATATGCCCACCTGCCATGTTCACAGGGACAGGAAACGCTGATACATTATTCAGTGGGTTTTCAAGATCTTAGTGATTCATTTTGCAAAACTTTTTGCATTCTGAAAGTGGACCATTATTTTTATATTAATTTTCCATAAATTAAAATAGTACAAGGCTTGATTCTTCATAAAGGTATACATTTTTAGAAAAAGGAAATAGTGTTCTTGTTTTTAAATAAGTACTATTGTTTTGTATGTATTATATTGCATGAGACCAAATCAAGAAATCGTGAAGATCACTGCTCCATAGCAAGGTGGTGGATGTCCTTTTGAGGTAGTAAAAACCTTACCATTTTGTTTTTGGGTATTTCTTTCACTTTAATATTGTCTTCTATTTTCTGCCCTTTTTATTTTATGAAAGACTTTTGCTTAAACATTATAGAAAATTTATAATGAAAACCAATTCTTTATTACTGCCTGTCTCCAGGCTCACTTTTCAGAAATACCTGCTTTATTTGGTTTTTGTTTTCCTGTTGGCTACGTCAGGTATCCTTCTGTTAGTGTTTTCTAACATTCGTATAAAATACTTCCTCTGCCATGGAAAAAGAAAACATTCTTCCTCATATTCTTGATTTCATTTTTCTCTTTACTTTGCTTCTAAAAATATGTTTAAAACTTTTTTTAATTCCTGACCTGTAAAAGAGTATATCCTTCACTTTAGGTGATAATTTTAGGCTTTCCTAAACCATTAATGGGACCTAAATAGCATTTTTTTGGTATTTTGCATAAAAGTTGAATCTGAGAGTGGAAACAGTAAACAGTGTTTATATTATTGTGATGAAAAATAGTGCTCCCCGCTGAGGAAATGTACCGGAATTAGCATATTTTTTGCTATATGGCCAAAAACTTACCCGGGACAAATGTCTGTTTTGCTTCTTTGGTCTGTAAACTCATCCCGGCACTGGTCTGCATAAAAGGGGCTCTGATGGTTGCATCCTGACAGCTGGTGAGGCATTTGCCACATGACCATATTCTAGGTTATGTTTCCCTAAATGCTGTCATTTAGGGTTTGTTTATCCTGAGTCTCATGTTCCTACTTTTTTTCCCCTTGCCTTTAGTTCACTGTAGAAAAATTTCAGTGGAATCCATACATTTATGGAATTTATAAAGGATACGTTACCCTTGACATTCGTTCTTAAATGAAGACATAGTTGAGGATTCTTTCTGGAGGGCCTAATCTGTCTGCCAGAAGACTCCTTCATACTGCAAGGTGCCCACCTGTCCCCGCTGGCTCCTGCCGGCCTCTGAGACCAGAGACACACTCAGATCCAGCCGCGGTGTCCTTCCTTGGTGGTGCAGTGCGTGCTCCCTGAGCCAGGGACGCTGGGGCGGGGCCAGCATGGCTGCAGGGAGGCAGGCCTTGGATCCAGGCATCTTTTTTCCTCAATTTGGGTGTACAGAGTGATGGCCACATGTTTATGTTCACCATAATGGGTGGAACCAGAAATTCCAAGGAAATGTGGAGGTAAGTACCAAACCCGCAGAGAAGGCCGTTTCTTCTTACCTTGCCTGTGCCTTGGAAGCCACCAAGCCCTTCCTGGCCTCTGGCAGAACAGACTGGAAAGGAACTGTTAGCTGCTTAGGTGCACAGTGGCGCTTCTTAAGGAAGGCCAGATGACAACCGCTACTGCTTTTCGGGGGCTTCCCCCCTTTGGAAGGTATTGTTGATGGGAAGTGCGTTGTTTGCTGAACAGCAGGTCAGCCTCTGCTGCGAGGGTGCCTAGGTCACCACTGTCACGCCCTGCCCCTCCCCTCCCTTTGAAAAATTTCTTTCATCTATTCCAGACGATTTGGCCGTTTTCCCTGAATTCACTGCCGTGGCCTGCTATGCATAGACTGTATTTTACCTATCCTTTTAGTCACAAAGCAAAAATAGCTTTGTTATCGTGGGGACATTTTTCTCTATTAGGACCCATAAAACTTGTGGTTATTGTTATTGTGGTAAGAAAATATGGACTTGTAATCATTCATCCTGCATAAATATTTCGCTAAAATCAAATCTATGCCCTGTTACTGTTTCTTTTCTTTTCTAATTTACAGAGGACCTTTTTGTTTCCATGACAAATCATAGTCTAATCATTTTAAGGACAATTCAACTGGCAGTTAAAGTGAACTCGTACAGTATAATTGAGTTGAGGGGATGATAATATGAACAGTTGTGGTCAAGAGACAACTGGAAGAAAATAGTGTACGTCTCAGGAGCAGAACATCAGGACAGAGAAACATCCCTAAACATCCCTCTCACAGTGTGCGTCTTTTCCTCCAAAACTCCCTGCATCCATGCCAATCAGGCATTGTGTTACCTCTTGCCTAGAATTGCCTAAAAATTCACAGCTCTTAATTTTACTCTAGAATTTACCACTTGCCTTGGATCAGCCATGCTGGTAGTTGCTGATTTTTAATGAAATATGTTTTATTAGGTAACATACTAGAGAAAGAACATTGGCAAATTGTGGGACCTCAGTTCTAGTCCCTGCTCTTCCACCGGTCAGCACTGTCACTGAAGTGTCACTTGCTCTCAAAGTGACAGTGAACTGTTAGCTTAGACTGAGAGGTTTTTAATTCTGGCTTCGCATTAGCATTGCTGAAGCAGACTTTCCAGCTGCATGTATTTAAGATGCATGTATGACAGCAGGCTTTGATAAATGTATACACAGTGAAGTGACTCCTCCAGGCTGGGGGCGTAGCTCAGGGGCACAAGCGCCTGCCTGACAAGTGCAAGGTTATGAGTTCAATCCTTGGTAACCCCCCAAAAAGAAATGATTCCTACATTCAAAAAAATTAACATAGCCAAAGTCTTAAATTTTAAAATGCCAATGACTGGTTTTCACCGCAGCCCAGTTCAGTCAGAAGCTTTGGACATGGAGCAGGTGGTGGGTCCATTCTGATGTTCAGCCCCACGTGGACCACCACTGGTCAACACCCGACCAGCGCCTTGGACATTGCACCAAGGCAGGCTCCTAAGTCACTAGGCTGGGTTTAAAGCCTGGCCGTGTACATATGTTTGGCATACCCTAAGATGTGCTGTGGTAGGAAATAGATCTAATAATGAAGGGTAGTCATAGCTTCGCACCTTTACTGCCTGCTTCACTTGCATGTCAGAGGCCCTGACTCTGCGTGTTCCTGGGTACGCAGTCAAGCAACCTTCCAACAGTTCTTTCAGATAAGGGCAGAAGCACTCTAAATCTCATTTTGCAGTTGGGCAAAAGAAGCATAGATAAATCCACTTGGCCAAGGTCACAGCTGTTAAATAGATCAGCCAGATCTAAAGACCTAATAGCCTGAGGTAGATTTCATAGTCCGGATTCTCAGCTGTCCTGTATCGAAGTGTCATGTCAGGAAAATAAAGGGTTTAAACCTCCATCAGGCAATCAGATGTTGGAGAAACGATACACTGCTTGGAAGCTGAACCCCAGAAATCTGACTTGAGGGGCCGTGTTGGGACTTCACAGGTGAAAAGGGACTGACACGTCACAGGGAAAGGAGCTAATTTTTCAGCCCATCCTGTGAGTGAGCCTGTGCCGGTTTCCCCGGCAGTGCAGCAAGGGGAGAAAAGGAAGAGGGACCTTTGCGAGATGGTGTTTCTCACCCGTGCTTTTTCCGAATGCTTGTGGGCAGTGCTTAGTGACAAGGGATTTCTTTGACCCTAGAAGCATTTGCTGAGCTAACATTTCATTGGTTCCTGAATCAGATTTAGCTGGAAACCAGATCTCCAGACATCTGCAGCGTTTGAAGGCAAAGCTGGCAGGCAGTGTGATGAGGACGTCGCCTTAGCAGAAAGTCAGGGTGCTCAGGGCTACACGGAGAGCCAGTTTAGGGTGCTTGTATGCTCAGTTAATCTCTGTTGAAAATAAACTCGGCCTCTTAATGGAAGTCATCATTTCTCCTTGGGATGGATCAGCAGTGCTGAGAAATCAGAGGTGCCTAGCACTTTAAGAACTATTAGAACACCAACCATATTATTTTAAAGGTAGCCAGAGGCTCACTCAATCTATTGCCCAGAAATGCAGCCAGGGAGAAATCAGATTGTGCTGTGCATTTTTATTAAGTCCTTTGCCCTGTCATGGAGCAGACCAGAGCTGGAAAAGCTTGGAACTTGCAGCCTGGGAAGGCCGGCTGCTTGCAGCCTACAGCCGTTCCAGGGAGGCTGGGGGAACCATCCAGTTGTGAGTCCTCCTTTTTCTGTTTGCAGGGAAGCAGCTCAATCTTCTCCTGGAAGCTTTCATTTTGATGATCTTTGGCCTCTTTTAGATATTGCTTGGATGACCGGAAGTCTTTAGAGAGAGATGGGGGATTTTCAGAACTGCAATCTCGTCTTATTCGGTACGAAACACAAACGACCTGCACCCGGGACGTTTTTCCCGGGCCGGTGGTGCTCAGCCCGGCTCCGTCACCTGCGGTTCCAGAGCCTGGGAGTGGGCCTGAGGGAGAGGCGCTGCAGAGCGAGCTCGGAACCGAAGCATCCCGCCTGAAGCGGAGGTCCAGGGACCTGAGCTCCCTTCAGCCCCCAAAAAGGTGATGCTCCGGGTGCCAACAACTGTATCTTGACAGAAAGCGCTTCGGTTGGGGTGGGGTGTGGGGCCGTTTTCCCAGTTAGTCTTTTATATTTTTCAGTGCTTTCTGTACAGATTTGCAGATTCCTTCATGACAGGAAGCGTGTGTTTATCGTGCGCAATGGATGGTGCTGCTTAGGGTTGCAGAAAACAGTGACTTGGAACCGCATGTGCCTCTTGCTGTCTGCTGGCGGACAGTCGCCCGCACCGTGGACCGGGGGATAGAAGCTGAGGTCTCCCCCCAGGGACAGGGCCCGGGGTGCCATAAAGAGGGGGCCTGCTGGCCCTGTCCTCTGTCTCAGTTTCCTGCCTGCACCAGCACCTTTGAAAACCCACTCAATGCATAGAAAATTAATTTTCAAGCCTACATGATTAGTACATCCTGCAGAGTTTGTAGATAAGCTCTCCAGGAGCTTGTTCAGAGATTAGAAGTGTATGAAATAAACACTCCAGTTTCTTTCAAATTTATATATCTTTACATTGATCAAATTTAGGACCTTGGCCTGTAAACCAGGCCTTAGTTTTTGCTAAACCTTCAAAACCTTCAAAAATCCACAAAATACATTGAAAACCAAACTTTCCCATCTTTTCTGAACACAGAAACACAGTAGAAGACTGGTTCTCTGACAAGGGATAACTAAATGGTTTTTATGAGAACTTCATAGATTCCTGGTACTTTTTTTGCATCTGCATTAACACTTGGGACACTGTTTTGTAACGTGCTTTAGTTTTGGGACTGGGACTGGAAAAGCTTTGTGTTCCCGATGAGAAAGGCACGCGGAGCTCTCGGTTAGCGGAGAGAAGGGCTAGAAGACCCTCGCTGACAAAAGCAAATCTTGAGTTCTTTTAGGAACATGGAAACCACAGCCAATTTTACAGCTTTATTTGCGCTTCTTAGAATGTTTATTATTGTGCGTGGGCAGTTAGTGGCATAGGTACCATAAGAAGCAGGTCGAAGAACTAGGGGCTTAGCTCAGTGGCATAAGCACCTGCCTGGCAAGTGCAAGGTCATGAGTTCAGTCCCCGGCACTAAAAAGGGAAAAGACAAAAGCAGGTCGGGATTCCTTTATTAAAATTCTCTCTTTGAATTTGAGCGTGGTAGCACATGTCTGTAGTACCAGCACAGGGGAGGCTGAGGCAGGAAAATTCCCATATGTTCAAGACCAGCCTGGGCCCCATAATGGTTCAAGGCCATCCTGGACTACATAGCGAGACCCTGTCTCAAAAAAAAAATGAGTAGAAAAGTCTAAGTCCCTGGCGATGAATACCAAGTGTAGAAAGAGCACCACCTCGCATGCCACAGCTGATTCTGGAGGATTCTGGATGGAGAAGGGAACGGTGCGGGAGCTCTGCTTGTTGCTTTCTCGCAGCCGAAGTCCTGGTTTGCTTGCATTCTCTCCTGTCTGACCTTCGCTAAGTTGAAGAACTCAAGGGCCAGCGTTCCAGAACACTGTGGTTGCTTACTTAAGGCAGAGTTTGAGGAGACCTTGCTCTTTCTGAGTTTGTGTTCGGCTGCAATGGTCACGTCTGTGGACTCACGGGATCTGCACTCCCGATTTCCCCCTCACCCTAGGCTTATGAAACCGGACAGCCCAGATTCGCTTCTGTCCCGGCCGAGAGGCAGCAGTCGGCGTCCCGCGGTGACATCAGGGAGGCCGTCGGCCGAGACTCGCCCTTCCATTCCAGTTCCCAGCCGCACAGCTCCAAAAGTCATGAAAAGGGCCAGTTCCAGTCAAAGCAGCGCCCACGAGTCACAGCCAGCAAAGCTCACGAAGGAGTCAAGGTCCCAGAAGCACACCCGGGTAAAGCACCCTCGCGTTTGCCGTGAGGAGAAAGCCCTTCGTGCGAACCCTGTAAAGTGTGTGAAGTGAAGTAGTGGCTCAGTTAGGGTGAGGGGCAGTGAGCAGGGCATAAGCAAAACAGAATCAGACAGAAAATGACCCCTTCAAACAAGGTGGCAGATGTGTAAGGTAGGGAGCAGCCGGGTTGTGGTGGCACACACAGGTGACCCCAGCACTCTGGGAGGCTGAGGCAGGAGGGTCACAAGTTTGAACCCAGCCTGGATGACTTGGCAATTTAGAGAGACTCTGTCTCAAAGTAAAATGTAAGAGGACTGTGGTGTACCAGTGTGGAGGGTCTGGGTTCAGTCCCCAATAATGAAAAAAACAAAAACCTGGACACTGCTTTGTTTGAAATTTTCCACAGTAAAAAAATAAATGTACACCTACATATCCCTGTTGTGTATAACTGTCACATTCAGATTGCAATTCAGAATACATAGCCGGGCATGGTGGTTCGTACCTATAATCCCAGCACTCAAGAGGCTGAGGCAGGAGGATCGTTGCACGATTGAAGTGAGCCTGAGCTACACAGTGTGCTCAAGGCCCGCTCGAACTGACAAACCCCATAAAACTCCTGATTTGAATTCCTGTCTTAGGAACTCCAGCCATTCCCGGCTAACCTGCTAATCCTGCGATGTGGTAATGACAAACTTCAAGATTGAAATGCTCGACCTTCTACGGAGAGGTGTCACTGTTCTCCTGTGTTCTCTTTAAGATTCTGCGAGACGTGGTGGCCGAGGCCCTGAGGAGACACCGCATCACCGAGGCTCACGAGTGCTTCCCTGCCTGCAGCCAGCGGCTCTTTGAGGTCTCCAAGTGCTACCTGAAGGTTCGGTGTCTTCTCTGCTGACATCCCCCTTTGATAAGAAGAGGTTTAAGTGGCTGTTTTTATGCAGATGGCCTATAAATTATTGCTAGATTTTTGTGCAGATAGAAAAATGATGTGAAAATACTTTATTTGATGTCAGTCCTCATATAAAGCCACTTTTTAAGTGGAGTCCTCGTATTTCCCCTACCGTCTCTCAACTTCAATTGCAGCATCAGGCGTTACCAGTTCATTAGTTTAAATGATAATTGGATTACTACACGCAGTGACAAAGCCACTGGACTCTATGAAAATGTCCAGGGTCTCTCGAGGAACCCATCCTTAGACAGTGATGACAGTGAACAGCTTAGCCGCTCCAGAGACAGGTTTCTAAACCTCAGAAGGTGTCAGATCGCCTCCATCCTGAGATTCTGACTTGAAGACAGTTCCACACAAGATTCTGGTTAAAGTCACCCAGTAAGCACGCAGTCCCCTTCCTCGCTAAAATCCCTCAGGCACAGCAGCACCACAACACAGAGCAAGGAGAGAGAGGAGAACAGGCAGCAGAACGTGTTCCATGGAGTGCTGGGGCAGTCCAGGGCGTCAGTGGGCGGGGAGTCGGGGACCCCAGGCACCAGGGGAGTGCACGGGTGAGGTGCTGGCTGGGGACAAGAGGAAGTCAGTGGACAGCTGCCATGCACACCGGCCCACAGTGCGCTCTGCATGTGTCTGCCTCCAACTGTACACAGCAGGCAGGGCAGGGCAGGGGGCTGTCACCCGGGACGTAAAGCCTGCTTTGCACAGGCCGCCTGGTCACCAGCCTGCGACAAGGCCTGCACAGAGAAGTCTCTGTCGTGCTGGTGTCGCTCTTTGGACTGTGGTCAGCCAGGGAGTGGCCAGCTTCACAGACAGCTCCAGCACACGTGGTGGACAGCCAGAGGCGCAGGAAGATAGGACAGAAGGGGAGGACGGCACCCTAGGAAGTTTAATGCTCTGAGAAATAAGAACAGGATGCTGCTTACAAAACAAAAACCGTACACAGGACATAAAATCTCCTTAAAGTTGAAAATATAGTGAAATCCATAGAATAGAAAAGCGGAACAGTTTAGGTGAAAAATAATAATCAGAAGCCAGAATCAAATGAGGAAAACATTGAGAAGAGAAAGAAAACTGAAGGGCTAATCCAGAAGATCCAATGTCCAAACAACAGGAGTTTTGAAAATAAAGTCTGGAGGAGAGAAAATTGTCAAAATATAACCAGAGTTTCCCAGAGTAGGGGCGGAAGCCTGCTGGGGAGGAGCACACAGTGGGTCCGCCCCGTGACGGAAGGCCCTACTGAGAGCCAGGTCACTGGGCACGGCGCAGGGCCCCATCCCTGGCATCAGTGGAACATCTTCCAGGACATTCTCAGACAGAACATGGCTCCCACGAACTAAGAATTAGAATGGGCTTCTCCACAGTGACACAGCACACTGGAGACAGTGAAAAGTACCTCGGATTCTCAGGGAACCGGCGTCACCTGCTCTTTTCTTCCCTGTCCACAGTCGGAGCAGGTGTGAGGGTTTGATAGGTTTCAGACACAGAAGGTCTAAGAAAATGGGCCGCACCCCCTTGAGGAATCATCTAGAAGCTGAAGTTCAGCAGACCAGGGGCAAAATCACAAGTAGAGTAAGAAATCCCCAGAGGAGCAGCAGACTTGGGCACTGCTGAACCTGACTGCAGCGGGCTGCGGAAGGCAGATGTGCAGGTGTGCGGGAGGAGTGCAGGGTTAGAGACCCGGGAGGAGAAGCAGGTGCAGAGCTTTCAGGTGGTAGCAGGGAGAGAGGAGCGCTGGGTGGCAGCTGTGAGACGGATGGTGACTGCGTGCCCTTGGGACTGAACGGTGTTCGTCTCAATAATGCAGATGCTGTTTACTCATCTCAGATTTTGAGTACTGAGAGGAGGAGGATTCTCCAGGCAGAGGCGGAGCCATCTCCACTTGCCAGGGAAGGCGCACGTAGAGGGGAGCGACCCCAAGTATTGAGAAGGGGCTGATTCTAGGAAGCTCTGCTTAGGGATTCAGCAGAGGACCATTTTCTTTTTTTGTTCTTTTTTAATCTAGCTTTTTAATTTTATAATCTGATTTGATAATTAAATTTTTAGAGTCAGAATCCATTTCCTTTCCTCTGTTGTCCCTGTTTGTGGTACAGTGAAATAGAAAAAAAAAAAAGAAAGATATTTTAGCTGTAAAATAAATATAAATGAGGTAGTGATTTTGTATATCATGAAGCAAGTACACAGTGAACCAGTACCCCTAGTACAGGGCGGCTCTCTCCACACACAGATCAAGCCATCAGGCATGAACTGGGCCCGCGTGGGTTTAGGTGGCTGGGTCTCTGTTCTGCGTAGGGTATCTTTATATTGCAGGTCGGAAGTAAATCATATTTCATTTTAGTGATGTGTTTCCCTGTTGTTTGCATTGGATACTTGCAGAATTATTTAGGCTAACCTCAATCTTACTTACTAATGAGTCATTCTCTATAATTTAATACACAAAAATGCTGTATTTCCTTCATGTCTAGGATCTTAAAACTTCAAGAGGTCTCTTGGAAGAAATGAAGAAAACAGCAAACAGCAATGTCATACAGGTGAATAAATGATCCCCCAGGAATGACATGGCCTCAAACTGGGAATTTGTTTCAGGACATTGTGCTGCTGTCACGTGTACAGTGAGGGTTAGTGGTGGCTTTTCCACAGTGCCCCTCGGAAACTTCCTAAGCTCCTTAATAATAACAGTGTTAATAATAACTTAGGCATAGTGTTTAATAATACTTAACAACCTGCTTTGTTGAAATGGTATTAAAGAAAAAGAAAAATTGAATAATTTACAGAACGAGAACTGTTTTGATTAGCTACTTTCCAAGTTTGACTGAATTTCTGACACATTTCGAAATAAAGTTGAGAGCAGAGCAGAGGTCTTTATCTTGTCCCATGAGAAAATGCGGTACTTGGAAGTTGAGCAGAAGGGAGTCTTTAGTAGGAAAATAAAATGTTGTTAAGAGTAAGCTCTGGCTCGCTTGCTTTCCACTGTGCATTTTCTGCCATTCTATTTGCAGTTGTAATATATTTTCTACCACCTATTTTTAATGGAAAGGAACCATATTATCTTTTTCTTTTTCCAGGTAATTGAATGGGTCTTGGAAAAAACAAGCAAGAAATGATACCGACTCCTTCTCTTTCGGACAAGAACAAGTCTTGATGTCACTGTTTACTACTTCAATCCTTAGCTTGAAAATGAGAAACAAATTCAATTTTTGTCAGGTAATAGGTGTTAATATTTCTGAAGCATTTTATAAGTATCCTTTATTTACATAGTTTGGTAATGTTCAATTAATGTATTTTTAATTATGTACATATTTTATACTGTTTACAATATTTTAATTTTTAAAATATTTTTTGTTTTAAAATTTTACTCTTGCCATGTTAGTTATTACAATAAAGAGCACTGTTTGCTGAAATCCCGGGCGGTGTGTCTTCAGCTTTAGGGCTGCGTCCACCTCTGAGTTGGCAGGGGGTTATTTCCATTGCTTGCCTCTGTGTTACAAAGGCACCATTTACTGGACCGCTTCCAGGAGAGAAATAAGGACCACAAAGCATTCACCCCGGCCGCCGCTCTCCGGCCACCACTCTCAGCTACTCATGTTTACTGTGGCTCAGAAAGTGAGGGAAGGCAAGAGCAGTGAAAATGACCAAGTACAGATTTGACCAAACAAAATGTCTCTCCCACAGTAGACGGTCTGGAATCCTCCTGTGCCCCCTGGGGAAGCGAAGCTGACTTCCCAGGGTGCCTGGAAGGGCCAGTCATTGCCAGCTTTGTGCCAAGTTACACATAATCGCCTCACAGGAGCCTTGTGAGGGAGCTGTGCACAGAGAGGGTGTGAGGAGCTGTGTTACAGAACTCAGGAGTGACAGGCCGAAGCGCAGACTTGGATTTGTTGAACCTCTCACCCCCTGGTCAGCCCTAAATGCTGTCACTGTTGGCTTGAACACCTTTTGCTTTTGTACCTTTTTTCCAAGGATCTTGATTTCCTACCACACTTGCTACTATTATAGATTAAGACAAGTTGGAAGACTGATACCACTGAGCAATATTTAAGTTATGTTCAGAGTTCTAAGGTTTTAAATAAACTTTTGTAATGTTTGAAATTTAGCATACATAAATTATGTCCTTCGGAACAAAAAAGTATAAACAAAGAAAACTTGCCTTAATCACTATTAGAAGGACATAAGGCACCAAATGTCTTTACTAGAAAAGAAAGCTGAAGGGTTTATTTCCAGACCTACTGTAAAGCTTCAGTGGAGACACCCTGGCATTTGAAGTTTGCAGATCAAAGAACAAATGAAATCTTAAAGGCACCGTGCACACCAAACAGGTCTTTGAAGAAGGAAGTGTTTTCTGAGCAATGGAGCTTGAATAAGCAGACATCTACCATTACAGTTCAGATAAAATCTCCCTCGAGTCTACTCAGAGGTGGGCTTTGGGGGGATGGGATCGCGGCGGTTCTAGGGGTTCATAGCTCACTGCTGCAGAAAGCCGGCCGTGGTCGGCAGGGTGTTCACTGAGGAGTGTGAGCAGAGGGGCGTGTGCTTGTCCCTGGCCCTCCTCTTCCCACTTCTGACCTTCCTGCTGCCAAGCAGCGACCAGCGTCCTTCACCCACTGTCCTGGCATTTCCGCCTCGGCACGGGCTAAGCATAGACTGTATCCACTGAAACCGTGAGCGAAAGGAAACCTCTCCTCTAAATTCAGGGTGTCAGTGTCTTGTCCTGTGGTGGGAGGCGAACAACACACCTCAATATGGAAAAGTAAATAACCTTAACCGTGACTCCACGCCATGCCCAGGTGTTAACATGGCACAGACCGTAACCCTTTACTTAAAAATCTAAAACAACGAGAGGAAAATGGGTACAGAGGGCCCTCAAGTTGCAGCTGGACTAACAAACAACTTGGTCAGAACTGGCATTTTAGTTTTAACGTCTGGCCAGGCTTGAATTATGATCTGAGTGCTGGCCACTCGTGCTTCCAGATGGTCTGACCTGCATTCTGGAAGGAACATGACAACAGCCTTTCCTGAGTGGGGTTAATGAGAAGTCCTGGGCCAGTGTCTCTAAGGATGCTGAGCTCTGCCTGTGTACAGAAGACTTTGAAGGCTGTAGAGGAGCCTGAGCCCTTAGTTGACGATTTAAGATACAACCAGGTCTCAGGAACGCACCGGGTACCTAAATCAAGGGTCCACTCCAATTCTTTATCACCTTTGGATAAGACAGATTTCTTATAAAAAACCCCAAAGCCATAAACCTTAAAAATAAAAAATAAATTGTATTTCAAAATTTTAAAGTTCTGCTCTTAGAAAGACATCATGAATAAAATGAAAGTGTAAACCAGAGGATTTTTATCTAGATTACCTAAAATACTTTTGTAACTCAATGGAAACCAGTCTGAAAGTTTTAAGTGATGAAGAGGTATGAAAAAATACTTTAGCTGGGCATTTAGCTCAGTGGCACAGGTGCCTGCTTTGCAAACGTGCAGTCGTGAGTTTGATACCCAGGGCCAAAAAACAAAAACAAAAAAACTTCCTAAAAGCAGATGTAAGAACAGCAAAAAGGGCATATAAAGATGTGCAACATCATTAACCCAAGGGGTGCAAATTAAAGTTGTACCAAGCAGCCTCTGAATACCCGTTAGAATGGGAAATTTTAAAATGGACAATTCCATGCCGTGGTAACTGTACACTGAGACATCTTTCACGCTGTCAGTGGGAAGGAAAAATGCAGTAGTTAATTTGGAAAATATTTGACTTTGTGGTGATTTTGGCAGCACTGGAAATGGAACCCAGCACCTTCACATGGAGTTACGTCTCTGTTGTAGTCAGGGGTTGTGAGGGGAACAATTAGAATCAGGACACAGAATTTGTAATACTGTTTTATGACGGTCACCCAGAGTTAAACACAAGAAAGTGCAGGAAATCCGTCCACAACACTAAAGACCTGGAATATCCAGCCAAGGGCCTGGATCCCACAGCAATGTCCTGCATGAGTCCAGCTGAAGACCTAGAGCCCATGACAGTGCCTCCATCTGGAGGTCTAGAGCCCACAACAAAGACGCATGCCAGTATGATTTACAGATCTGCACTAGGAAGGCCCACAGGTCAGCAGTGGAAGCTGGAAAGTCTATGCCAGCGGGGTGAAGGAGCTGTGCTGGTAGGTAGAGGGCTCTGCACTGGAGCCCTGCACTTAGAGACCAGGGCTGTCCTGACAAGCATCACAGCCATCCTCAGCAATATGGAGGTCTCGAGCTCCTCTGATGATAAGCACAGTCGAGTACCTGCCAGGAAGCCAGCGTGAGGATCTTCTCCTGGAGATTAAACAGCACACATCTTCCCCTCTGGGACCAGGAAGCCATGCTCGATGTGAGGACCAGAGCTCCCCCAAAGTGAACCACAGGTACTCTCACCAACAAGGTCCTGACCTCCTCCAGTGACAACGGTGGAACTCACAGTGGGAAAGCTGGTCATGACAGCTCCTCCAGGAGAACCAGCAGCTCAAACAGCAGCACTTAGAGAAACCCACAATGCCAAGCCTCTCCCTCTCCACATCTCTACTTATTCTGGCAACTTTCCTCAAGTGAAACATAAACACTTAATACCATGCTGATTTAATTCAGCTAAGTTGACCACCAGTTTTTAATCCATAACTATCTCCATTACCTTCCCTCCTTTTAAACTTTGAAGAAGAGTCTCATGAAGTTGCTAACTTAACCCAGCCTGGGGTTAAACTTGGGAATCCTCCTGCCTCAGCCTTTCATGATGTTGAGAATGCAGGTGTGCATCACCGCCGTGCCCAGCTATTTCTTACAAATTGACACTTGTGACTCAATCATTCAACTTGTAACATGTTATACAAGAGATTGAATTCAAATGCTATAGTGAACCCTTCTCATCCTTATTGCAATATAGAAAGGTTTATGTTGGGAGCCTGCCGTATTACCCATGAGAATATAGCCACAAGATGGCGTCCGCCTACCGCCTCGCTGCTCCCCCGCCCATCGTGTGCCCAAGATGGCGCACACATCCTGCTTCCTGGTTCTTGCTCGGCTTACTGTCCCCGCCATATATGGTAATGATTGATTGCTTCCTTGTTGCCGCCCAATCGCCTGTCCCCACGTGTAATCCCATGATTGGATAACATTAGCTATATAAGCCCAAGTATAGGAAGTGCCCGACGCACAACACGTAGGAAGCCGTCAAGGACGGACGTGTATTGAGGTTGTAGCCCAGTCAATAAAGGAGCCTGCAGAGACAGTGTTCGTGTGCCTCATTCTGCGGGACAGACGTGGCGCCGGACAGGTTTATGTCTGTAATCCCAAGAAGGAGGTACTGGAATTCTAGGGAGTTAATTCCAAGCTACCACTTCCAGTGCAACCCATAGCGAGAAGAAAGACATGGAGACGTATACACAGTTACGGGGAGTCAAGGGGTCCTAACTCCAGCCAAGAACAAAGGCCACGACCCAGGGCCCAACCAGGTTTCACTGATTCTCCATGAGGGCAGGGGCTCAGGGAAATATGTGATTGCTATGAGCTGAGCTAGGTGGCTCTGAGATCACCTCTGATATGCAGAGGGCAAGAAATGCAGAGAGAGCAATCTGCATAACACACCTGAGGTGGAATCTAATAATTTGGGGTCGGTGCTTCAGCCCAGGGCAATCCTGTTTGCCCTGGGCAGTCACAGCCTCTTTCTCAAGCCTCGGTCCCAGCCATTGTGTGGAGCAGAGGTCTCCATCCACCTGGCTCAACACCGTATTTGGGGAGTCACTAGGTGGGGTATCACTGACCTGTCCTTTGCTTCAGAGGTGACACATCAGCTCCTCAGCCAGCCCAACTCACATTGCTTACAGCCAAATGAAAGGACAAAGAAATAGCCCGGCCAGCTCTGTGCATCAGTACGTGCAGACAGATTTACCCAAAATGGAGATGGCTGCTCTTCTTTTCAAGGGGAGTCAAGGACTCATCTGGCTGGTTCCCCACAAAATACTTGTATCAGTTCAATTCTTAACAATCCCAAATTTACCTACAAATGAATGGACAAATCCTTACAGTGGATTCCTATTCATTGATATAAAGGAACAAATTGGAAATATGTGTTAACATGAATGATTCTCAAAACACTAGGCTTAAAAGAAAATGTCGGAATTTTGAAGTTGTCAAGGTGGCACCCACAGTGACAGGAAGCAGAAAGTAATTTCCTGGGCCAGCAGACGGGCTGACCGCAGAGCAGCACCCAGGCCCATCTCCAGGGAACGGCGATGCCCTAGAGCCTGATTGTGGCGGGGCTTACACAGGCATCTACATTTATCAAACAAACCCACCCAGCTGTGCAGCCAGGCACCCCCAGAGGATGGCGAGGGGCTGCATGGCCAGCTGGGTTCCCGTGAGATCTGCCCCGGAGTCGGCAGGGCAGT